GTTACTTTGTCCCCTCTCCGCGCGTCCTTTTCTCTCTTCCCCTTTCCCTTCCCTCCTCTTTCTAATACTCTGAGTATTTTGAACACCCTATGACTCCACACACCCCAGCTAGACCTCCTGCCTGTCTATTATTTACCAATGCACCACAGACTGGAAGAGGAAATCATGGAATCTCCCCAGTCTCAGAGCAGCCATGTGCCCTTTGTGCAGAGACACTGTGATTGAGGAATAATGAGCCAATCTTTAATAGAGTGAAGGCACAATAGGGCCCTTCTCCAGGCTGGCAGAGTGCTGCTGCTCCATAGATTGTGGCAGGGCTACAATGGGCATCACAGTGACATCCATCAGCCGGAGGGATTACACCCACATTCATCCTTCCTCCTCCTCCTCACGTGGGCAGCTCTGCCTAATTTGGCACAGGAAGGCTCCGCTCCTGCTTGGTGATAACTCTGCCTAGGCAGCAAGGGACCATTGTCACCTGACAGTGTTATCTCTTAATTATATTATCTCTTAATTACAGAAGCTAATTGTTTGTTTCTTTATTAGTAGGAGCTGATATGGGCCCAAGGACTGTGGAGATAACAAGGGTCAGTGAGTAATTTTCTAGCAATTCATAAAGCTGACACCTTTCACTGAAGTTGTTCATTTTTGCAGCATTTCTCACAAGTGGAATTGCATTATTTGTGTTTGCAGCTGCATGTTGGATGTGTGCCTGTGTTTTGGGACCTGCATGTGTGAGGACTCCTGTGTCTGTCAAACCTGTTTTCTCCCCGTTCCACAAACCAAACAAGTCAGTTATTGCCATACTCTAACCACTAACCTCTACCCCAATTGCAGATGGTTTGTTTTGCTTTGTTTTAGGGCCCAAATGATGCACTTGGTATCAGTATAGCAGGAGGGAAGGGAAGTCCATTGGGAGATATTCCCATCTTCATTGCTATGATTCAAGCCAGTGGTGTGGCCGCACGGACCCAAAGACTCAGAGTGAGTAGAGGAGTCCTCAGTATCTCCTATTTCATCTGCCATGTGTCCCACAGAGAAAGAACCTCAAACACTTGTGTATATAGTATCACTTTGATAATGTCTCATAGACTACTCTGCCTGTTTTTATACAAAATCAAAACCAAAAACCAGCCACAAAACACAAATCTGCCAAAATCAAGAAACACCAAAATAAGACACTTGTACCAGACCCACAGCACATGTGGGTTTCCAGGGATGACTGTGGTGAACACTCTCAGTTTTGGAGAGAGTTTCAAGCAATCTTTACTATTGAACTCATTATGCAGATCCATATGCTTTGGCCCATGAGATTCATTCAGACATGCTGCTACATGCTGCTACATTCATGCCATGTCTCAATAGCATTAAACAATAGCACAGAGTGCCAAGGTCAAAATCATATTTATGTCCAAGAAGAAGAAATCATCCAGGTTACTTAGATTAGTATCAGAAGTTCCTACTTTCCTATACAGCATTCAGCATATGCTTACAGAGTCTGGAAGAATATGAACTTGTCTGCACATACAGACACAAATGAATCCTTTCTGGATGGGAGGAAAGCAGTGAAAATCTCCCTCTCTCTGCTTGCAAATGGAAAGAGTAAAAGACAATCCATCTTTGTTTCTCTGATCATATTGTTAGCTTTAAAAAATCCATATTGTCCTAGCTCTGAAGAATGGGAAATGATCACTAGCAGTGCAGACTCCTCACAAAAGGGATCCTGCAAAAGAGAATCATGACTGTGCAGTGCCAAGTTCACGAGGAATTTTAAGCATTCTTAATTTTAATTTTCCCTAATGCTAGTAATTTTCCATTGCTGTTGTACTTTCAGGTTGGAGATCGGATTGTCAGTATTAATGGGCAACCTTTGGATGGGCTGTCTCATGCAGATGCAGTTAATCTACTAAAGAATGCTTATGGGAGCATTATCCTGCAGGTATGGTGATAAATTGAACATGCAGCTGCATCAGGGTAGATAAATGGCATTCAGGAGTGACAAAACCACCCTGAGCATCACTGGCACAAGGCATCAGAGACTTGCAGGGTGCTTGCTGATGGGAATTACACAGAATGAAAGCAAGAAATCATTTTCATTCAAAAAATTCTTTATTGCCATTCATACAGGCTGTGAGCATGATTACAGAAAAGCAGAACAAAGAGAACAAAATGACTTGTTGCTACACACGATAAATCAACAAGCTTCCAAGTTGTGTTCGTTGTTTTCATTTGAAGTTAACTAGGAACGAGAAATTCTCTCTGTGTGTGTGATGTAACTGGACTGGTACCCTGCTGCCCACAGTTTCCTTGTTCCTGAAAGAAATTCTAGCAGCATTTAGGAAAAATGATAATCATCATTAAGACAGTGCTGATTATTCTGCAGATAATGAATAATAACACTCAGGAGTGCAAACAGTGCTGGCACTGTTGTGTTTCTCTGCTAGCTAAAAGGAAGGCATGCTCTGCCACTTCGGTTCCAATTGCTCCTATCACTATCTTCATCCTTAGGTTATTTTTATGTTTACACAAAGAGATGGGAAAAATACTTGCCAGATAGAATGCAAAATTCTGCCCATTTACAGAATGATTTTAACAATTGGAAAATAAGCTGAAGACACCACTAAAATCTACTCTAATTCTCTGCATCATCACAGCATTTTGGATTGGAACACGTCCTGAGGGGTTTTTGCAAGCTTCTTGCTTGCATTATGACACAAGTGTGACTATAAAAATGGGGGGAAAAGGGAAAAAGGAAAGGAAATGATAATAAACTTAGTTTTAGACTTGCTTATTCTTTGTTTTGTCTGTCCATGAACTGCTGACCTGGTAAGTGATGAGCCAGTTCCAGAGCAGATGGTGTATTTGTGTAGTCCCATTGAAGTCAAAGAAAACACAGAGATACACACCAGCTGAGGATTCTCTGTTAAATTATAGTTATCATATTGTTACTAACATTGAGTAATTTCACTTCTCATGTCAACAGTATTCCCTGAATAGAAAATGAAAGCTTGCTGCAGAACCCAAAATTGCTCATCTTCAAAGCTGTAATAGAGCATATTCCACCTCATCATGGATTTAAAAATACTCCTGATGAAGCACACGGTCACTTGGGCCCTCATACAAATAAAGAGGTTCCTCTAGAAATGCCTTTGGGTTAAATAGGCTCATCTAGAAATGTTTTTGGGTTGAAGAGGTTCTTCTAGAAATGCCTTTGGGTTAAAGAGGTTCCTCTAGAAATGCCTTTGAGTTTGTCAGTTGATGGTTTTTCTTCTGCATTTTTGCTGTCTGGCTTAAAACGAGCCCAATACTCTACAGATGATGCAGGTTTATTCTGATAGAACAGTTTATTTCCCTTTGTTGCAAATCCATTATGTGAAGGTGGGATGCTGTGATCCTGGGAGTAGTGTTGAGGCCCTGCCGTGGTGTGGCAGTACAGTAAACTTCCACACCAACCACAGGTGCTTCTCCTTCACCCAACTGCTCTTTTTTTATTAAAACAACCTAAATTGAATAACCCTATTGCTGTGATAATCATGAGTGATGTGTCATTAAGTAATTCTGTTTGTTATCAGGTTAGACCACTTCATGGCAAACTGCTTTGAAAGGTCAGATAATTGCGTTCAGTGGTGTGGAAAGGCTTATTATGGGAACGTCCTGGGAAGGATGGTAAAGGAGTTTGCAAATGCTGTTTGCAAATGGGAGATTAAGGTCTCAGGGGAACAATCATCCCTCTCGGCTGTTTTGATGCTTTGGTTTAATTTAATTTCTTTTCTGCAGGTGTAGTAATGAGATAAGGGGAAGCTTTTTTACAAGGTTGTTGAACTCTGATATGTTCTTACTGCCAGCTGAAGATTTTGGAATATAGATTTATTTTGCCCTGGTTTTATTGAACAACAAAACACGACAGATACTGGCTGGCATTCCTTATCCTACTGCCACGGGAAGGAATCCTGAACGGAGCCTTTGTTGGCTAAGCCAGGTGCAGCTCCTGTCTGCTGGACCCTTCATTTAGGCCATCCCAGAACCTGAGTCCTAGCATGCAAAATTTGCATGAGAACCTCTTGGCTCTATCACCCTCTTGGCTCCAAATGGTTAGGAAGAGGGAAATAGTGTTCTGGAAGAACTGTGAGCATTTAAAACCGGGGATTTATAGAATGGAGGTTTATTTCAGAAAGGTATGTTTTGCTTAAGCCACGTTCACAGCAAGAAGTGGAAAAAGGACCTGTTCATTTTGATAAAATAAGGCCATAGGTAGCTAGAGGAAATATTGAAAATATACTTCCTGGCTGTTTCTCACTGTCTCTGAGCTGAACTCCTGCGCTGCACAGTTAGTGTCAAGCAGAGAAGAATATCTCCTCACAGGGAGATGGAGTGAAGGGATAACTGCAGCATGTAGTGTTCAGGAAATTGATGTCCTTTTAGCTGTAAGTACTTTAAATCCAAACCACTTCATGGTGGTTTCTTTGAAAATTTTCCAAAACAACAGCAAATAAAAAATTAGAATCAATGAAAGGTTATCAAAAAAGAAGGTAGTACCAGTGCCTCAGCACCCTCACAGGGAAGAATTTCTTCTCAATATCCCATCTATCCCTGCTCTCTGCAAGTAGTAAGCCACTCCTCCTTGTCGTCTCATTCCAGAGCCTTGTCCAAAGTCCCATTTTCCAGCTCTCTTGGAGCCTCTTTAGGCACTGGAAGGGGCTCTAAGGTCTCCCTGGAGCTTCTCCTCTCCAGTCTGAACACCCCCAGCTCTCCCAGCCTGGCTCCACAGAAGAGGTGCTCCAGCTCTCAGAGCATCATTCATGATGATTTTGGAATAATAGAGGAACCAGGATTAGGAAGTTTAACAATCCAGTTTGTTAAATTCATGCTAAAAATGCGGAAAAGTTGAAACCAAGGGTTAATTTGTTCCTTGCTTGGCTAACAAACCAATCTGAAGTATTTCAGGGCCTTTACCCAATAGCCCTTGGATCTTGGTGTTTCGTTAAAGGCTAAGGTGCTCCCTGTGGGAGACCTTTACTTTCACATCCAGTCCTGGACCCCCTGTGTTGACTCTTACTTCCTTGGCTAAGTAACCTCTTTCTTTGGACTATCCAGAAAGACTCTGCTCAGTGTCCATGTGAAGGCAAGAGAAAGCTTCAGAGCAGAGTTTGCATTTCAGCCCCAGAAAAGTGGCTACCATTATTTGAAAATATAGAATTTTTAGGACATTTCAGAGAGTAGGGCTGATATTTAAAATCCGCTTGGAAAAAAGTCAGCAATTGATTTTCCAAATGTATCGTTTATTTTCTGCATCAGTAGCCAAAATGCCTTTGGTATTAAGTGAACACACATAGTATGTTCTTGTGTGCTTTGTGCTCAGGTTGTGGCTGATACCAACATCAGTGCCATTGCCACCCAACTGGAGAGCATGTCCACAGGATGCAACCTGAACTCGTCCTCTGAGCATCCTTCGGAAGATCCCGAGTAAGTTCCTGCTCTCCTGCAGAATGGAGGTGGCTTTCTGTGTGCCATGCAAGGGAAGAGCCTGGGGTGGTGCAGGAGGTCTCTCTCACTGCTTTTCTCTCTTAATTTTCCATCACCTTTAAAATGAAAACTATGACCTTCTCCAAGCTGATTACAGACTCATGTCTTTCTTCACCTGCTGACAGAAATTGCTGGAGTAAATAAGGACAAAATGTGTTTCCAAGCACTAGTTCTGGGAATTTTTCAAATCAGATTGTCTTCTTTCTTGTCCAGTGTGTTAGGCATGATAGTGCTGCCCTTGTCTGTTGCCTTCTTTGCCTGGAAGGAATTATAGCAGCAACTTGAAATCATTTGTTATTGGTAGACTGAGACAAGAGGTGTTAAAAAGACATTTCAAAACATGTCCCAGAACTTTCTTTTCTTTTGAATCTTTTCAGCTTTACAATTAAAAAAAGTCTGATTTTAAAATGTCTACTTTGAGCACTTGTGTGTGGTGATGGAATGTAGAGCTGTAGCCCTCCTGTGCATCATTCTCCATTGTGTGCTTTTTAGGGCAGCTCATAGCATCCCAGTTATCATCTGGAAATTCATTTGGTCTTCATTTTGGTTCAGCATCTTCATTATGTTTTTCATTCTTTGATTCATACTATTTATTTTAAGAAGCTGAGATGCAAGTTGCTGCCCTACCTCAGGGGGTTTGAGTATAAAAGTTAAGCTATTTGCGCTGCATTCTCCAGTCTTACAATGTGAGATACTGTTTTTATTGCTGCTCTCAGAGGAGAATTGCTTACTTCACTGAAGGATTTGTATTCTCTTTTCATATCAAAGCAGTAAGGAAATTTGGATGTGAAAACATGAAGCAGAATTAGGTAGATGTATGTATTTATTTAGTCCTAAAGAAATGCCTAGTTATTAGGCAGCATGGGCTGCACCTTTAGATAGGTGGAAGATGCCAAACAGCTTTCAGAGAATCATGGAATCATTTAGGTTGGAAAAGTCCTCTAAGATCAAGTCCAACCATTCTCCCAGCACTGCCAAGGCCACCACTAACCACTGACATTAACCATGTTCCCCAAGTGCGACATCCACACAGCTTTTAAATCCCTCCAGGGGTGTTGACTCCACCACTGCCCTGGGCAGCTGTTCCAATGCCTGACCACCTTTTGTCCACAATAGTTCTTTCTGCAGATGTAGAAATTACTAATTTCAAATTTGAGATGGGTGTATTCATATGAGTGGCCTAAATTCTACCAAAAGTCTTCCTCTGTAGGCAGTAAAGAGTTCAGGCTCGAAGCAATGCGCTCTGGGGTTATGAGCACAGGGATGTGTGTCAAGCACAGACTGTTAAAAAACAGCCTGAAGATTCTGTGGGAGAGCTGAGACTACAAACACTAGTGTTCCTGGCTGCACCTATTAGACTCATTCCTCTGAAGCCATAAATCAAAATTATGCTGTAAGGAAATGTTGCTGTTGCCACTTAGGCAGACTAAAGATGACAGTTTGGCTGGTAAGAAAGCAGACTCTCCTTTATTACATGCAGGGACTGCAGATCAGAGGAGTCTCACTTCTCCTCAGGGATAAGTGCCTTGCTGAGCTCTTATTAAAAATCAGTATTTTCCAAATGAGGGGCTGAAGCACAAGGAGCAGCGTTTGAACTCTGTGCTGTGCCGGAGTGTTTCGGTGCAAGGGTCATGGTTTGTGTCTGTGTGAATAACTCCATGATAGATACATATCTCTGTAAGTGTTCCTTCTGCCTAAAGACCCCAGAGACAGACGTTGCAATTCTAAGTGATATTTGTTGTGTTTTCAGAGCACCTCAGCCTAAGATTATTACTTTGGAGAAAGGCTCTGATGGACTGGGATTTAGTATTGTAGGGGGGTATGGAAGTCCCCATGGAGACCTGCCCATTTATGTCAAGACTATATTTGCCAAGGTATCTTTTATTTTTTTTGTTTTCTCCCTTTTTTTCTGTATTATCTTTAAAACTAAAGCTAAGATTTGGCTTGGATAATATATTATGTAGTAGAAAGCAAAAATGTACTGTCTAAGTACATTGATGTGAGTTAGTGGACCCAGAACTCACAGCTGGCTCCTCAGTTTATATTTCATATTACTGATGGCTGAAACAAGATACTTCATCTCAGCAAAAATTGCTCTATGTACTTGGGAAACTTGTGTTCTGTACATTAAAATATTTATCATGCAGTTTTCTATCTGTAAATCTCAAAGAGCCTTCCAGGAGATATGGAGGTATCATTTTTCCCACTGTACAGGACAGGGGCAGTTGCAGAGATGCTGTATCTTGGTGGATGAGCTTCAGCTGAAAAAACAGGAACAAACCCATCTCTGACCCCAACCCTGAGTGTCGGGGGAGGATTGGGAGTCCCTGCCAGGCATTGCAGAGGCTCTGGGCCCCAAGGCTGAGGAAGGGCCGTAGTACAGCCCAGCCCAGCCCCAGAGTGGCCACTGCTGTGGAGGAGGGAGAAGTGCCCCTTTTCCCACCCATCCCCTTGCTAGAGATGAGCTCAGTGTGGGTGAACAAGATACACCAGGCATGGCCACATGAAGGGAGTTCTGGAAAAAGGGGGGAGGAAAGGAAAGAAGTGGAAATTAGGGATACTTTCCATCAGTTGCATACTGTTGCTTGTCCTGTGCCTACTTGCTGTCACTTATGTCAGCACTTGTGGCAGGGTGGATGATAGAATCAAGAAAACTTTGTCTGAAGGTGGAGTAGAAGTCATATCTCCTGCTTCTGCTATTCTGAGGCTCAAACCACAAATACCTGCCCTTTTTACAATAGTCAGTAATTAACATGGGAGGATATTCTGTCTTTCAACTGATGCTTAGGCTTGCAAGTTTCTAGACATGAGCATGGCTGAGAAACCCTAAATGGAACCTAAAGTTACTGCAGTCACTGGTGAGGCCGTGGAGCAGAAAAAGACACCGTGAGCCAACCTCTGGGCAGGCAGGGCTGGGGATGCAAATCAAAGAGCTGCACTGATGCCTCAGGAGAAGAACAGCCATTCTGAAAGCTCTGTGGGAGCTTCTCAGGACCATCATAGAATTGTTTAGGTTAGAAAAGCCCTCTAAGGTTGTTGAGTCCAACTGTTCCTTCAGCATTACCAAGGCCATCACTAACCATGTCCCCAAGTGCCACATGTACACAGCTTTTAAATCCCTCCAGGGATGGTGACTCCACCACTGCCCTAGGCAACTGTGCCAGGGCTGGACAGACCTTTTGGTGAATAAAATTATCCTGATAGCCAGTCCAAAGCTCTACATGGCACAGCTTGAGGCCATTTCCTCCGTGGAGCCCAGCTCTGTCTGGAGCAGGTGCGCTGCCCAGGTTGTTCTGCTGCATGAGCTTTGTGTCCCTCTCCCTCCCTATGTTTTAACCCATTTCTCAGCACTGGATGTGGAGTACATTTAAGTGCTGCTTTAACAAGCCTCTCCATATTACAGAATCCAGAACCAGTCTTTACACTGCCTTCTTTCAGGGACGAGCCACTTCCCTCCTTCCCAGGGGTGTATTTAGCACCCCAGACCTTGCAGGGTGAGCGAAGGGGCACGGTCGAAGGCACTCAGGGAGACCTCAGCACTGTCATTTCCCATGTTCCCCACCCAGTCAAGGGTGGGCTTTCCAGTGCTCCATCCCTCCTCATTCCACCCAGCATTCCAAGAGTCGGGAGGGCTCTGTGTTCAGTCACTGATGCCTGGCTTTGCCGTTGCAGGGAGCAGCTGCGGACGACGGCAGACTGAAGCGCGGCGACCAGATCGTGGCCGTTAACGGGGAAATTTTGGAAGGTGTCACCCATGAACAAGCTGTAGCTATTCTGAAGCGCCAGAAAGGAACTGTGACACTAACGGTGTTGTCATGAATGTCATTGTGCTCACAGAGATAAATGCAATTATTTTAGAACATCAGTAGAGCTATAATAATCCTGCTCAGCCCCGAGCAGGATGCAAAGCAAACCCTGGCACGAATGAATCAGTATTCGTCCTATTACCAGGCAGGGTAGTGTGCATCTCCAGCTTCATTTAGCCTCCCACATTTATCAGCATTTCTCCCTGCCCTCCCCTACTCCTGGTGGCTTTCAAGGTTTCTCTGGACAAGTTTAATTAAGAAACTTCAAAGAACAATATCTGTTTTACTTTATTTAATGCATCAGTTTATCCCCACTGGTCTGAACCCCAGTTGCAAGTGCTGAACCTGGAATCAGTTCACAGACAAAAGAGAATTTAGATCATCAACTGATCTCATCTGGTGAGCAGAAATAAATGCCGAGTGACTTGTCATCTCACTCGTGATTTACTTATGCTAATTGTTCTTTCAAGTATGCCAGAAAACATTAGCAATGTAATTAAATTACCACTGTTCCAAATGATGAAATATCAAATTCTCCTCTGGGAAATTATTTGTGCTCGGCACAGTAAGTCTGATAGTCAAATGTGAACTTCTCATGTTTATCTCTTTGGGTAGGTCTGTGGAAGTTAGTCAGAGGTAATTACTGTGATGTGTCAATTTGCAGCCTTTAGCATGAAAAATAAACGAGGGGAGAGGGAAATTTATTTTTTTAGGCTTTTAAAATGTTTGAGCCCTTTCAGATACTTAGGCAGCATGAACAACAACAGTGTAGCTCATCCTATTCTAATCACATTTTTTAAGGAGAAATGTGCTGATATATGCCAGGCATGTTGCATACAAAGGCAGTTGTTGTCGTGCCAAGTTGCAGCATAATTGTTCATCCTGAAACTTTAATGAAGACAAAAAGTTTTGCTTGGGGAATGTGATCCTGCAGTTGTAGGAATGACGGTCAGCAATCCCTCTGCACGTTGCCATTAGGGCTCGATGGAGTTCATCCAAACCAGCAAACTGTTTTACGTTTCCAAGAGCCTCCCCAGGATCTGATAGTGTAGGAAGAGGTTTTCATGGATCACAGGGGATGCTTCCCTCTCAGGGGCTGCTGGAGTTCAGTTTTGGATGATACCAGGCACTACCAGGCAGTGGTGAGATGATCTCCCAGAAGCCATGGATGGTTTAGGCTCCTCAGCCCGTCCTGCGAGTTGAACAGTTCCGCTGAAGCTCCCAAGTAACTTCTGGGTTTAAGCTAAGCCAGGTTGAGTGCTGAAGCCCACAAGGAGCCTTCCCAAGGCCAGTCTCACTGTGGAGGTGGGACACAGGAACATTCAGCCAGATGTCTGTAACTTCATGGCGTGTCACAGCCGTCCTGCAGTGATTATATGGCCGTGGCCTCAGTGGTTTAGCAGATGAGTTTGGCAGGCAGATTCACAGCAGTGCAAGGCATTGTGGGTTAATCTTCCTATCCAGGGGAGCAGGAGGGTTTTGGAGGATGCAGCACAGTCTGATTTGGACTGTTTGATATAATTTATAATGATGATGTAGCTGGCAGAAATTAAAGGGGAGGTGGGGCCAGAATTGGCTGCTCAGTTTATGTGAAAAATCCCAGGAATTTCATGGACAGAAGATTCAAAATCTGCACTAGAACTGAGTGGTGCAGGGGGGTGTTAAAGGTATGGTTGTTCTCCGTGTTTTAGTGGGAATTTCCCCATTTTCCGTACAAGAACAGGCCCTGAAGCGAAGTGAACTACACTGAGACAGAGATGCTGCGATTAGCTCTCATGGAAAAGGGTTTTCCTTATTTCACTGGAAAGTTTTCCATAACTTTAGGTAATCACAAAGTGCATTTAGCCTGCTGGAACGATTGGTGGGTATTCCCTTAATAGTGCCTGGAAAGAGACTTCTCATTTTCAATGAATTCCCACCATCCTAGTTGATTTGCCAAGTGAAGTGTTAGTGGAATCTTGATTGCAGACACAGAAATACCTCCAGATGTAGCAAATTGGAGGAAATGTTAACAAACTGCCTTTGGTTGCAAAAGTATCCAAGGTATGCAGGAGTTAAAGGTGAGATGTGAAGAGGTACTCTCAGAAATAGCGGGTGGCATTTATCAACCAAAGGGAATGATTGCTCTGTCCTATGTTTTTATAGCCGTTGCATTCTGACTCTAAGATGTTGCCACACTTAATCAGTGAAGTTTTACATGGCTAGTTATTAGCCTGTGATGCGCACACAGTTCATACACATAACTAATAGAATTCATGGGCTGAGATATTTTGCACAGTTGCTCAGAAGGAGAGAGACCATTTTCTGCTTCTTGTAATTTTGCACTTTGTGTGTTGAATATATTACTGCCAAAAATTATATTGCAACTAACAGATAAACCAGTGAGCATGCAGAGCAGTGTGTGCTCCATGCACAGGACCAAGGCAGAGAATTCAATTTGCATTATGCTTGTCTGGGTTGAGGTGTTATGGTTTGTTTAAAACTTCATTTCTGCGCAAGGGAAAAAGCAATTAAACCTCCTTGATTGTATGTTTACGTAGATCAGCAAAATGAGACGTTTTATGACTTCAGAGATTCTAAATAAAGCTCAGTTGCATAAGTAGTTGTGCATTTGTTTTATTTATTTTTTTAATTCAAGTCATTGTTAAAAGCTCTGTTGCATGAGATGTCTTTGTTTGCTGTTCCAAGTAGAGCTGTGATTGCCCTTCTCAGGGAGCAGGAGCAGCGGTTGCTGTCGGTGCGATGGGAGGCTGTGGTGCCAGGTAGCAGGATTATCCCTGCACATCTACCCTGTCAAGAAGCTACAGCAACCCATCCAGGTTAGTTTTTAACTGGGGACACCAGCAAAAGTGGCTCAGTTGAGAGACCAAGGATCTGATGCAGAGGCAGCAAAACCAGGGGATGAAGGTGAAGGTGTTGAGTGATCGTTACTGGCCCAGGTGGAATCAAAATCAACACGAAGGATGCTCTCAGGAGGAACTTTTACACCTCAGGCATCTTGCAGCCCTTCAGAGATGCCACTGAAACACCATTTGAACTCACAGGTAGAATCATAGAATGGTTTAGGTTGGAAAAGCCCTCTAGGACCATCAAGTCCAACCAGGAACAAGCGCTGCCAAGCCCACCACTAAACCATGTCCCCAAGGGCCACATCTACACAGCTTTTGAGTCCCTCCAGGGATGGTGACTCCACCACTGCCCTGGGCAGTGTGTTCCAATGCCCGATGACTGTGAAGAAGTTTTCCCTAATATCCTGCCTTGGTTTGAGGACTCAGCCATCAGAGCCTTTGTTTTTTGAAGGGCCACATGCTCTTCACAGTCCCTCCATCAGCTTCCCCACCTGGAGAGACGTGGAATAACCTGCAGTTCACAGTGACACCATCAAAGACATTCTTGGCAACGCCAGGAGCCAACTCAGGGCTGCTTGTGTTTCTTGGCTACCTGCAAAGAAAAGGGCAAGTTATGCTGTTGTTTCAACTTCTTCCAAAGGCTGGGATTAAGCTGCTGTAAGTCTGTGTGTCCTCCTCACCATATGAGGGGGGAAGACACCAGCCTGAGTCAGTGCTCAGGCAGCACCATGGACTGTGGTAGATGAGTTGGTGGGGACAGCAGGTCAGCCTGGAGGGATGGAGGGACTCCATCACATTATACTGCTGCATAAGGAATCACTGTAATGCCTCTAAATTCCCTGTAATTAATCACATGGCAATTACCACCCTGGAAGTGTGACACACATAGGGCCTGTTGAGGTAATATGATTATGCCAAGATGGAGCAGTTAATGTCCCTTTGCCTGAAAGAACTGGAATGAATTAATTTAACGTCACACACGTATAAAACATCAGTTTTTACAGTTGTGCTGAGCATTGATATATAATTCTATTATCATGTTTCTCCGTGGCTTCACACATCTACCTCTGTAATTCAGCTGTATTTACATCCTGGTTAAACGCTCTCCTGGTCGTCGTCGTTCCTCTTGGCAGCAATGGACATTTTGTTCCCTAACATGCACATTCCTGTGATAGCTGGACCTTTTAGGATGGCAACAAATCAGAGACATCCACGTTCTGCAGCATCCCAAGTGGAAAAGGAACAAGGATCACCTTGACTTTGCTTTTAGCCTTTTCCAAGCAGGCTCTGAGGGCCCTGCTGCTTTCCCAGGTCTGGTGGGGTTGAAGCAGAGTTTGTTCCTGATTCCTGCACAAAACCAGGAAAATACACAGTGGCAGCATAAAAATCTTTATTCCTTCCTTACTTAGAATCATGTAATCCCAGAATGGTTTGGGTTGGAAAAAAGCTTAATGGCATCTCATTCCAACCCTCTGCCATGGGCAGGGGACACCTTCCACTAGCCCAGGTTGCTCCAAGCAAGTGATTTCTTAATAGCTGAAAATGCTCATAGGGGATGTTATGTTTTCCAGGGGAAATGTTTCCATGTAAGGGTTTATAGTCCCATTTTGAGAAGGATGAGAGAAATACAATAAAGAAAGCAAAGATTCTTGGCCTTGGAACTGCAAGGTAAGAGCTGGGCCAGGGCTGGGACCTGGCATATCCTCATGGAACCCCTCCAATCACCAGCCAGGGAAAGCTGCCCAAGCCCCAGTGCTGTGGCTGCAGCGGCTCCGAGTGTTGTTCTCCTGATTCTTTTTCTACTGAAATGGCACTAGATGGAGCAATTGACAAAATATTGTATTTCTCCTGCCTTCAACCCGTGGCTGGTGGGCTCAACAGAGGGGCTACCCCAAGGATTGCTCCAAGGATGCTCTGTCTTCTCAACCCAGACTGGGAAAGACAAACTCCCAAACTCTGAGCTGGCTTTTGCCTCTGCAAATGCGTGCTACAAAAAGAAGATGCCTGGATACCGTGATGAGAGGTTTCTCAGAAATAAAATCGTGGTCCAGCTCACCCCTGCAGATAAATGTTCTCCATCCTGACCAAGCAGCCCCTCTGTGCTGAGCAGTGGGGACAGACAGGGTACTGGAGAGGCAGCTTGGCCCCATGGACCCCAAAGCAGAAGAGCAGTCACTGTGCCCAACACACTGCCCCTGTGGCAGCTCATTCCCCTGCAGCAAATAAATCTGCTTTTGCTGCTGAGACATTTCCCTAAGAATATTAAATTCTGCTGAGAGTCACTGAACTGACACTGTCCAAGCCACTGATGGAGCATGTTCTAGGTGATAATCATCTCAAGGGGACACATTTTTCTTTGGATGGGGCTAGTGGAAGGTGTCCCTGCCCATGGCAGGGAGTGGAATGAGATGAGCTTTTAGGGCCCTTCCAACCCAACCCATTCTAGGATTCTCTGCTACCTGCATGGACAAGACTGGAGAG